TTCCACAGTACGCATCTTACCCTTTCCTCTACCTTTGTGTCTGTCTGGCTCTTTTACGTCTATGAACCACTCTTCTGTTCCTCCTCTCGACTTTTTGCGACTTTGTGGTTCCTCCCACTGTGATGCCCGATGTCAATCGAAGGGCTATTGACAACTTTCATAAAGTCTGCTAGTTGTTATAAATATTAGATAAACGATTTTCTAACTGGTTGGCCAATTTCGACAGCGATGTTTCCTACACTGCCCGTCTAACATCTCCATGCTTGAGCGTAGAAGTCTTAAATCTGTAATATGACCTATTGAGGATGAAATTACATGTGCACCTTGAGTACTCAATTGAATACACTAAACGTCCTTTTTGGGGTAAAAAGTGATATGCCTCCGAATTATATTCCTCTCTCTTCTCGGAAGACAGCAAACTTGTGAGAAAGACACGAAAAAGAATTTTTCGAGGGTATTTAGAGTTGCGTAGTTACTTCTGAATCGGTTTGATGGTTAAAACATGTTTTGCAAAACCCTAGACACGGAGAGCATGCGCAATAATTGGTTGTAAGGAAAGTATTGTATAACTTTCACAATTCATCCAATAGGAGAAGTGGGGGTGTGTGTGAACGGTAAGGTCCTATCAAGAGCCGTAGGCGTGACCTTTACCCTTAAGGGATAACACATCGTGTCAGTTTACAAGAGCGACTAATACATTTAAACCAGCAAGTTTTGTTTTGTATTCGATGACGGAGTGCCGGAAGTTGGCAGCGCACCTCTCCCATACTGACTAGTATCATTAACTTTTATTGATTTAGGCTAGAATTTATCGCGACAATTTGGAGCAAGTGAATGTATATCCCTTGGTCTTCTGTCTACTCGCAATTCAAGCAAATTTAGAGCGCCTAGTCTCTCGAACCCAACCCAATTCCACGTCTAAAACGAATCATTTTCACGTGCTAACGAAAATCGCATTGTCAGTTCTACAAATATCGTGCAGAATTAGATAACTTCCACCTATCTTTTTATGCGTTTGTGTACAATTAAGTAATAAGACATTCAAATTTTCATTAATACTGGATTTTGGGTTGGTATTGATTAAAGATCAGGGGTGAAGTGTGTGTGAATCAATATATCCAGATTATCAGTACGACGTCAACAAATTAAAGCCGAGGAATCTAGGAAATTACGTCTCACGAACTGTTTTAGTTCCAATATCAGGCAATAACGAGTCCTGGAATAGTTGCAGTTCTGTTTTCTGTTCATCTCTCTCCCTCCCTCCGGATCTGGACTAAACTTTCAAACATTGTGGCAGTTGTGTAGTCTTACTTTATAGCATTCATATTATTCATTATCTAGCTGTTTATAAGCAAATAATTGTGAATTATTGGCTGTTTTCTCCTTCAGGGTACTTGAAATTGATGATTGGGACAAGACCCTTCCAGTAGTGCCTTCAAAAACGAAGATCACTCAGGCAGATGTGGAATCGCCGAAGGCCCAATACGATGTGGTGGCTTGTCTTAACCTCCTAGATCGATGCGCTGAACCGCTTACACTTCTGCGGCGAATGCGAGCAGTTCTTAAGCCCGAAAGTGGTCGATTGGTCATCGCATTGGTCTTGCCACTCTCGCAGTACGTCGAAAGTAAGTCCATTACTGCTGGAGCGTCTACAAACGCGCAGTACTATTCTTCACTTATTATTAATCCAACTGAAGTGCGTTTTGTAAATCTCAAGGTTAATGGAACATGCTTGCTCCTTTAATCTAATTTAACAACGACATTGTAAGCCCAGGGTTTTTTGAGTGTGTTGTAAAATTACTTCATATTTTAATTCGATCCATTGATTAGTTGATGGGATAAACATTTCATTTAATCAATTATAGCCGAGTTACTGAAATGACAGCGGGCCGAATCTCTTATTCTGCGCGTTTCTATAACGTTGCGTACTTGAATTGATGAGAAATATCGATTCACCAATAAATGCCTGTAAGAAAGTCTACAGGCTATTTCAGAGGATTATACAATTACTATAATGCCTTTACATTCTTTAGAGCTTTAAAACGTCCCAGCCTTAGCGACGAATAAGTAAATAACGTTTTTTTAAGGTTTCTAATATGTCCTTTTTATTTTCTACTCATTAGCCACACCAAATAATGAGCCCTTAGAATTCCTTGAAGTTGGCGAGAGTCGAGCTTGGGAAGTTCAATTTGACAATTTCATTACCAATGTCCTTGTACCCGCCGGACTCGAACTAGTTCGATGGACTCGCGTACCTTACCTCTGCGAGGGTGACTTTGCTCGCTCTTTCTACTCCCTCAATGACGTTGTCATGGTTGTCAAAGCTGCCAATGCCACTGTCCCCAGTGACGACGCGTCTGAATCTTAGTTACCAACTCCTTCACTTCCCCCCCCCGCTCATCATTCCCTTTCATCTACAGTTGTCCTTTGTGCCTAGATTCAAGTACTCGAACGCTAATACATGAGTAATGCTAGTTCTATTGTCTATTTATTTACCATGGTGAAGTAAACAAATTCATTTTAAAGGTAATAAATAATTGATTAAGAGGAGGTGGGGAGGTTGTGGGTTTCAGTGGGTGCGGCTCCATACACCTTATTCCCACTAAAATCGTTTCCATGATATGAAAACTCATTGACCAGATGAATAATTTGCGATAAATTTGAAAAAATAGGTCTGATTCACAGATGTTTTGTCAATGATACAGCGGATTAATTGGACACATTGAAGGGTGTTTACCAGTGGGACCGAATACAGCCGATATTTGACCATAAGTTCCTCCAATGGCGGAGATAGTATGGTATGACATTCTAGTAGACGCTCCATTGATAGTTCTTAAGTATACCTGGTTCATGCTGCCAGGAACGAATTCGGAGGCGATAAAAATGGATGGTAATTCAACTGGCAAAATCTTAGTTCTTTTATATAATTACCAATCCCCATAATTGTTTCTTTGACCTGTCGCAGTTGAAACCAAATCATCAAGCTTTAAGCTTCTTATTCATTTATTCTCTTCTTAGACCCCTCTTAAGAACTTGAACTCATTAACCCGTTCGAACAACAACTCATTAGTCATAGTTAGTTCACTCGGCCACCTACAACAATACTGAATGCCCTCCAATTAACGTGGGCATTTTGTGGACCCTGACTTAGTAGAAGTGTTCACTAATAACAGCATCGGTAAGTACTGCCTGATAGGTAACAAAACAGCTGAGATAAAGTAATGTAGAAACCTCTATCAGCTGCTGAGAGAGAAAAACAAGAGTGGTCCTACAATAGATTCCTGGTCACTGTGACATTAAAGGCAATGAGCTTGCTGACACACTTGCAAAGAATGGGACAAAGATTTTGCAATGCATGGACCGGCCGATGTCTTTTTACACAACGAATGCCTTAATCAGGAGAGAATTCCAGACCTCAAGGTGCAACGAACTTTAAGCTCGAACAAAGGAGAAACAGTGGACAGTGCCTTTCTTCGACATAGCCGACTGGCCAAGAATCGAAGCCG